AACGTCTGGGAGAGGCTGACGCTGCACTTCTGTGTGTGTGTGTGTGCAGATATTCCACTGTCTGTTGGTATCTTGGACCCCAGGGCCAGCCCGACACAGCTGAACGCAGTCGAGTTTTTGTGGGACCCTGCGAAGAGAGCTTCTGCCTTCATTCAGGTAAGCGGGAGGGAGCTTGCCCTACAGGGAAGCTTGTGTTGTCTTAAAGGTGATCCACCTGCAAGGGCTCGGGTGCATTCTGTTTCTGCTGCAGGGAAGGCAGGAGTGGGGAGAAATCAGGAGGGTTGCTCAGAGTCCCAGAGCTAGTTGCTTAATAGGGTTGGAAAGAGACCTTGGAATGGCTTCAAAGTCTGTTTGGATTTTGTTTGAATATATACACCTTTAAAAAAATAAATATTTCTTAGCATAAATAATTTGCAAGTGAAATTTCTTTCACTGTAGTTTCTATGATTGAATGCATTATTTCCTTATCGGGTACTGTGTGTGGACCCAGCCTTGTGCTATACAGCTATACTCGAGATGGCCAAGGATGTGGATGTCATGTGGGAGTGTGGTACTGGGCTCCAGCCCGACTCTCACCTGCCGCCGGTCCTTACCTGGGTTTCTTCCCCTTTAAGAGCCTCTTAGTTTTCCCGACTGTCTTAAAAATCAGACAAGGAATATAAAGCCATTAGTACAATGTCTGGTCCGTAGAAATAACTCAATAAAATGAATAATCCTTAATTTTAAAAAATAATACTGTATTCTTACCGTATTTAAACATTATTTTTACGATATAATTACGTACTGTTAGCATAATAGGTATGGTGTTATTATAATGTCATTACACTGTTACAGCATTAATGTAGATTGAGTGCCTTCTGCGTACCAGGTACGTGCCAGAAATGCAGACATGGTTCTGGCCTCTGCTTCCAGTCTGGCCTGAGTAATCTGGACACCCAGATTGTAGAGGAGGGTTGAAGCTACGCCATGGTCCCTATTTCCTAAAGTCTATGGGATTGCTCTAAGTGAGGAGTGAGGGCAGGACTCTCAGGGTCAAAGGCTTAGAGCAAGGATGAGGACCTAGCTGGTCGGGAGAGCCTCCACAGTAAAGGGACAAAGGTGGGAGGTTGTGTCTTTTGCTGCAGTACAACCTGGAGGCTGTCAGTCTGGGAGTGTGGCCAGAGTGTCAGGAGAGCAGGGAGGCTGAGGCAGGGGTGGAAGCTACACTGGAAAGGAGCTCTGGGGAATCCAGAGCTGCCCTTGCCCCTTCTCCCCTGCTACTACCCAATGTTTCCCCCCCAGGTGCACTGTATCAGCACAGAGTTCACCCCAAGGAAGCACGGGGGTGAGAAGGGGGTGCCTTTCCGAGTGCAGATCGACACCTTTAAGCAGAATGAGAACGGGGAGTACACGGAGCACTTGCACTCAGCCAGCTGCCAGATCAAGGTGTTCAAGGTAGGACAGCCTCACCCCACCTGTGGGCACATCTGCCCCACTGACAGACACCAGAAGATTGACCCTCTCAAGTCCTCCTGGAGGCCCATCAAGAAGTATAGTGGCCCCATAGCTCAGGGCTGCCTCCGGGGCTCCTGGTGAGCTGGCCTATCTCTGCCCACCTGTGGCACCTGCTCAACAGTCCTCGAAAGCCTTGGATCAGTCCTCAACTCGACTTTTTAACAATGGCTGGATTTGTGCATTTTTTACTTTTTCTTCCTTTCAAGCTCTTCATAGTTACCTGTAGATACTCATGTGTGTATTCTTCTTAAAAATCAAGTCAGGGGGACCAGTAGTTGACATAATGGTTATGTCGTAGGACTCTCATGTAGTTGACCGTGGTTTGAGTCCTGGACTCGGTGGCTTAAACTCATGCTAGGCGCATGTGCGTGCATGCCCAAGATCCTGAGGGGAGAATGGAGAAGGAATTGCGCCGTAGTCAGCCCCCTGCGGGGGGGGGGGGTGATTTTTCACTTTCTGTCTCTGTCTCTCCTTGTCTTTCTGGTGAGCGCACACACCCTAGAGCAAAAACCTCTCAAAAAAAAAAAAAAAAAAAAAAGCCGGGGCC